ATCCAAATACTAGAAAGTGTTTGTTATCTGCATTGACAAAAGAGAGCCAACAATTTAAGTGTCCTGGATCACCACAAGGTGGTGCACATAACAAGAAAGGAAAAAGAACTTGAAACTGTGTTTAACCTATAGAAGACAGCAAGGTCACATTTCACATACTTAGTAGCTGTTTCTTACTATTTCTGGTTGCCAATGAGTGGACCTTCACAAAGTTCACCCAGGTTCATCTCATAGGTCAAGGCAATCTATGGCACAGCTTTTATTCCTCTTACCCTGCTCCAAGCTTCATTGACATTACAGCCAGGCACTTTATTCCTTAGACCTGTTACTGGTGTTGCCAACAGCATCTGGCCAGCTGAGATCTCACAGTAGCTCTCAGGGAGTGCACTAGAAGGTCAGAAGTCACTCTTGCTTTCTTACCTTTAACAGTCCATCATTTTCTTAAGAAACACCTGTGTGAAAAGTATAAGCCCCACTTTAGGGCAGGCCGGGCCGCTAGCATACGCTTTTGTCTTCTCCTTGTTCTCGTCTGCGTTGTTTGACATTTGATCATGACCGTGTATTAATTTCCAAATTTTTAACTTTTAGAGACAGGTTTCTCTGTGTAGCCCTGACTGTCCTAGAACTCGCTCTGTAGACCAGGTGGACTGGAACTCACACATATCCACCTGCCTCTGCCTCCTGAGTGCTGGGACTAAAGGTGTGCACCTCCACACCTTGCAAAAATTTAAAAGATGATAAAAAGGAGGTTGCTGTGGGATGTTCTGTATGCTGTGAATATGTGTTGCTCTGATTGGTTGATAAATAAAAAGGTGAATGGCCGGTAGCCAGGCAGAAAGTACAGGCGGGAGAAGCAGACAAGGAGAATTCTGGGAAGACGAAGAAGGCTGAGTCAGGAGATGACAACCTGCCATCCAGGGAGCAGCATGTAATGGCACATAGGTAAAGCCACAGAACATGTAGCAATATACAGATTAACAGAAATGGGCTGAGTTTAAGTGTAAGATCTAGTCAGTTGTAAGCCTGAGCTAATGGCTGAGCAGTTTAATTAATATAAACTTCTGAGTGATTATTTTATAAGCGGGCCATGGGACTGCTGGGCCTGGTGGGACCAGAAAAACCTTCTAACTACAGGAGGTTAAGCAAAGTTTTATCACCTTTAATTCATAAGTAGGTTGACATGTGACCAAAGGAATTGTAGAATGATGTGGAAACTTCCTTTTTCTTTGTTGTCCTGTATTTGGAAATGGTTTAGGGCTAAGGTCGACTTTGGTAGGGTAGTGCTTGCCTCGCCCAGGAGACCCAGGTTTGATCCCCATCGCCCTCTCCCCTCTAAGTTCTAAAGTCAGTATCTGTTGCTGGTTTAATCAGTTATAAAAATGGACATCCAGGTTCCTCCCTGGATCTAGTGAAAAGTGGAGGGTTTGTTGTTGTTGTTGTTGTTGTTGTTGTTTGGCCTGGCTTTAGTACCCTCCTCCTTCTCATTTTAATTTCAACTGTCTTGTGGGAAGTGTGGGTTAGTGTTTTTCAAAGAGATATTCTGGGGCTGGAAAGATGACTCAGTACTTAAGAGCATGTGTTGCTCTTGCAAAGGACCCAGGTTTGGTTCCAAGCACCCACATAACCATTGGTAACTCCAGCTCCTGAGGCTCCAATGCCCGCTTCTGACCTCTGCAGGCGCCACACACATGGTACATATACATACATACAGGCAAAAACGTTTATACACATAAACACATAAAATAAGTCTAAACATTTTTAAGACATCTTATTTAATTATTGATTTTTCAGAAATAAGTAATAGGAATGCTAGCATTTTAATTAGCTATTAAATCACTTTAATATCACTTCCCATCTAAATGATCATTAAACATTGTTCACATTTTTAGAAGATAAGCTCCAAGATTCATAATAACCTTTTAGAAGGAAAGGATTCTAGTATCTGGTCGTGGTGACCAAACCTACAGAATTTTGATAACTTTCATGAGAAATAAACTAAGCTTTGAGAGATTTCTGTTGTTCAAAGATCAGAGTATCCTTACCAGGACTCATAAAATTGACTTAAGAGCTGGGGGAATAACCAGTTCCATAGTTAAATTGTTCATTGTGCGAGCATGAGATCAGGCGTTCAGATCCCAGTACCCATGTAAATGCTGGGTGGGTGGCCTGCCTGTAATCCTAGCACAGGGGGCATGAGACGGGACCCCTGGAACAAGCTGGTAGACTAGCCCAATAGGTGAGTTCTGGGTTCAAGTCTAACCACTGTCTAACCACTGACCTCAGCCTCTGGCCTCCTCATGCACAAACACGGGAGAAAAGAGGTGATTCAACACAGAGCAGACTTACGGTATTGGAAGACATTTGCTGAGTTTTTTCTGTCTCCCCAGCAGTTGAGACAGAGAAGTGAGGTATACACGGCACATACATAGCTGCTCTGAATGTGGTGCTGAGGGTCAGAGGAGCTGAGCAGAGACTTCACAGAGACAACTGGAGCCAGGCCTGGAGGTGCAAACAGGAGTTTACCGGTGGCGGGGAGGGAGAGGCCGGCATCCTAGGGAGAGGGTCGTGCTTGCTGATCCAGTAAACCCAGCCTTCCGCCCGCAGGTTCAGGTTTTGAAGCTGCTTTTGAACTTGTCGGAGAATCCAGCCATGACAGAAGGACTACTGAGTGCCCAAGTAAGTCCATCACCTCCCTGGTTTGTAAATGCACACAGACATAGATTTTGACAAATAGATCTAGGAAGGCCTGCCAAAAACATTGACAGGGATTATCTCTGAAGAGCAGAACTAAGGTGTTAGCTTATTATTATTCCTTGTATGCATGAATTATGTTTACTGAAACAAGCATATTTGACTTTTTAAAACCCCCTTTAAAAATTCTCTGTATCAAGTGAACTTTCCATCTCTGCTCCTTTTGCAGTGCACAGTGTCATTACATTTTTAAGTTTGGTTTGCTTTACGCATGTGGACCTCAGCCTTTGCTGAAACAGCAGTGTTGAGTCACCGGTATGTGCTTGATGCTGGGCAGAGTGCCCGAACCAGCAAGTACATAGTGTTTGTTCTCATGGAACTTAGGAGGCACAAACATGTAACAAATAAGCAAGATCCTTGAAAACTGTCCCCATGTTCTGAAGCAAGTCAGGGTGGTGCAGAGATGGACTGGAATTCCCTGCCTGCAGAAATAGAACCATCCACTCAGCCATGTTCCCCGTGCTGTGTGTGGACGGTAATATTGGTTGAATTGATGAGTTCTTACAAAAACTGGATGGATCCTAAAATGGTTGGTTTTCTAAATGTCTATACTCTGGGGTTCCAAAGAAATCTTACTTGTTAGCTAACAAACAAAACCTCATTTTCATTTGTAACAAACATGGGGATAAAAATTGCACAGGTTAAGTTAGCAGTTAGGTAGCTTGCCTGTGGTCAGACCTTTAAATGTAAACTAGTCGATGTTTTAAAATACAAAAATGACACTCAGTATTTCCTCTTTCAGGTGGATTCTTCATTTCTTTCCCTTTATGATGGCCAAATAGCAAATGAGATTCTTCTTCGGGCGCTTACACTGTTTCAGAATATAAACAATTGCCTCCGAGTAGAAGGCTGCCTAGCTAGTCAGCCTCCCTTTGCTAAGGGGTCATTGTTCTCCCTGTTGTATGGAGAAGACTGTGCCCAGAAAATGAGAGCTCTGGTTTATCACCATGATGTGGATGTCAAAGAGAAGGTTTTAGCAATAATGCCAAAATTCTGATGGGTTGCTCCTACTTTTTCTAAGAGTAATGCAATCAAGTCAGCACACAGGAACTTATTTTCTACCTTCCTTTAAAAGGATTGTTTCAGCTGATGGAGTTAATAAAAGTCGTATTTTGTTTTTAACACAGTTCAGGGCGAGCAGCTGTACTCCAAGATGAATTTTAAAATTTGGGATTTTTTTTTTTTTTTTTTTTTTTTTTTTTTGTTTTTTTTTTTTTTTTTTGAGACAGGGTTTCTCTGTATAGCCCTTGGTTGTCCTAGAACCTGCTCTAGACCAGGCTGGCCTCGAACTGACAGAGATCTACCAGCCTTTGCCTCCCGAGTGCTGGGATTAAAGGCATGCATCACCACCACCTGGCAAAATTTTGGATTTTGGAGTAGTTCAGATTTGGGGTTTGGGGATTAGGTATGATCAGCAGGTGAAGTCTACAAATAATACTCCAGTCAAACACTCAGAAGTGACTCACTTCTGGGACAAACATTTAGTTAGGGTTATTTTGAATGATCTTACTGGTATCAAATGAATATGGAGATTGTGCTGGAGATATTTATGGAGATATTCAATAGTTCCCTCACATGGAATGAGTGGCCTTTCTCTGTACAATCCTAACTCCTAGAAATGGTTTGCAGTTGCTCATCAGGCGGCTTTAGGTGCTGGGTTGAAGACTAGAACTGCCACAGCAAGGACCCTGTGCTTCAGCGATACCCAAGCCCAAGTACCCTTGCCAACCCCACCTACTGCCTGCAGGTCTTTGTTCATCGTCAGAATCTTCCCTCACTTCTGATCAGTGAAACTGTTTCCATTTACAGGGAAAATGTTTTCTCAGTACTCACCCCCATGTATAAGGATGTGTAAAATATTGGAGAGCAATCCAAGTTTGCACCCACAGGTAGCTGGATAAACCAATGGACCTGAGTGAGTCTGACTGTACTCATATCGAAATACACCCATGAAATGGATGTTTTTAAAAGCATGTTGTAAAGCAATGTATTATGGTCCTGTGTATTTTTTTTTTTTTAACAATGAGAAATACATGTATACATGGACAGAACATTTCTAGAAGGATATGTAAAACTTCTGGGCATAGGACTGGGAGGTGGGTACATTGGATTTTCTGTGTGTACCCATTTCTACTGTTTGAATTTTTTACTGAGCATAAATGTATAATTTTTTAATAAAAAAAAATGCAAGGGTGTACAAAAATTTCTTCCCCCATTGACATTATTTTACTAATCTTCATCCACATTTTACTTGACTAAACTTACAATATATAATTTTTTTTTTCAAATTTATTTGTATGAGTGCTTTGCCTGCATGTATGTACGGGTACAAGGTCAGAAGGCATTGGAACTGGAGTAGTGTGGTTGTAAGTCACCATATGGAAACTGAACCCAAGTCCTCTACAAGAGCAACAAGTGCTTTTAGCAACTGAGCCATCTCTCTAAGCCCCTATAAATATTTTCAGTTATCTTTTCAAATGTTTCCTTCCCAGGAGGTTTAAGTTCAATATCTTTGAATTCAGCCAGGTTGTACTGTATGAGTCCATTCTGCCTTTGTGCTTAGCATTGTGTGTGCAAACAGGCAAACAGAAGTGTCACTATGTATTAGACAAAACTTTAGGAGTACTTCAGAACACACTGTAAAGATGTGAGTACTAGAGTGTTTGCATGAATCACAAATCCTCAACCTGAAAAAAATGTGTTCTCAGGCCTGATAAAGACATCAGCATGGAAGAATCTCTTTGGAACAGGGAAAACTTTTAAGGTGAGACTAGAAATCTGCAGTGTGCTGGAGGAGCACTAAGCAATGATGGTTAACAATACTTTAACTTGCTGATGGCACAACATTCAAGGTATTCTCCAAAAGGCACATTTCTTCATAACAATTTTTTAAACCTGCCTTTTTAATAAACGTGGGTGTTGAAAAGGTTGTACAGGAGCTAGGGTGTTTGCAGTTTCTGGGTTTCGCAATTCTGGGTCTAGAAGCTCCTTGCCACCCTTATCTCCTCCATCAGTCTGAAGAACCATACTTGCCAGCAGCTAGCTGATTCTGATGTGTCAGGGGGCTGAGTGGGTTGTCACATAGCTACCAAGGAATAGTGAAACATACAAATAGGCTTCTCTTATGCAGATCATAGCATACCAAAGAAGGAACCACCCTCAAAGGCAGTTAGTCATATCAAAGGATTTCTCAGGGATGATACTCATCAAAAGAAACATGAAATTGACCTAGAAGATAGATTAGATAGTATTTACAATGTATGTTAGACTGACAAAAGAGAATAGATTTTTCAAAATTTATTTTCACTTTACACATACATCCTTTGAAATGTAGATTAGAAAAATAAAGTGAAAATAGGGTGCTTGTGTTAAAGAGATATGTGATGTACTTCATAATGAATGGGCCTTATACAGAGAAAGAAACAAATCATGAAGAAGCCTAGAACAAGGAGGTGGGCCCAGTTCAAGTGACTAGAAAGCAAAGCACCTGGAGAGCCTCAAACAGTGCCTGTGGAGACAAAAGCAATGTTAAGGCCATTCATGGAGAAGTACTTGAGCAAGTTTATCAATGGCTGAAGTAAGAATTTTGAGTATGACAAGATGGCTGCAAGGGTGCCACGTGGAGCACTGTCCCCCAGGCTGCATCCAGAGCCCTACTGTCCAGATTCACAGCCATTTGCAGCGGGAGATTACTGAAGCCGATTCTAATGGTATCTTGGGCTTTGGATTCCAAGTCACTGTCACTGTACACATAATATTACAATACACATTTTCCCCTTGACTGATATGATTATTTTATATAAAAATATTAAATTCTGATGATCGTTTATATTGGCTATTTCCCTCTAAAGTCAGTCTCCAGTTTGATGTTTGCAACAAAAACAATGTATTATCAAAAGCATTGCTTGCTTTCCATGTACCTGTCAGTTTCAGACAGTCATATCTTAAAATGTTTTCTCCCTTAGATTTCTAAAGTGCTGTTTTAAAAAAAATATTACTTTCCCCTCGAGGTAGGTTGACATTGTCCTCTTGACGTACATAATGAGATCGGGGCTGAACACAAGTCATTTGTTTTGGGGTAATCAAATCAATGACAGAAGGGTGAAATTCTGATGAGAGGCCAAGGTGTGGCATGCAAATGCCCATTCAAATACATCAGAGTATTGAGTACTCCCTGCATATTTGATATCTAGAGAAAGTCTACTGTATTTTGTGCCAAGGAAGTTGATTTCATTGGTCTGAGTCAGAAGCACCCTCACTAACATCTGGGCAGCTCACTTCCTGAAGGTTCACAACAAACCTGCAGATGCAGAGGCATACTGGCCAAAGACACTGGTCAGCAGACACTCAGAAGCTTTAAAAACTACTGTAATTTCACAGTGGTTTACTAAAAAGTACAATTGTGCTTATAGGTCATTTAATATAAAAATATATAACACGTCCAAGCCATGTAAAACACACTTGTTATATTTGGGGTTAGAGCTTAGAGAACAGGAAAAAGTATATATATGTATATATATACAGAAAATGGAAAGTGAAAAAAATAAAACTTAATTCCAAGTGCATGATGTATTCACATTTTGGTGTGTGAGATACTTCACTGTAATTACAGTTGTGCTTAGCAGAATGTCTGACTTTGAAATTTAAACTTCCCCTATGTCTCAACCCCACACTGTTCTCTTCTCTGACCATCAGCTTTAAAATTGGGGTGCAGCTCTGTAGATATTGCCCTCTTAGAAACTTAAGATGTGCATGGATGCAGAAGAATGTGAATTGTTAATGCCAAGGAGCTTTTCACTATAGTTGAAATTATAGTTTTATGTAATGTATATTTGGCCACAATAAAAAAATTTTAAATGATAATTTAGCCCAAACACCTACGTTCTTATGCTTAACAAAATAAATCACTTAACATTTGACATGTAAGTTAATGTTTCCTCCTGAGACAGGGTCTTGGCTCTGGTTGACCATGAACTTGTAATCTATCTGCCTTATCCTCTGGAATGCTGGGATTGAAGATATGCATCACCATGACCAGCAGCTCATCCTGACAGTAAAACCTGAAGCGTTTACTCAGCATGTGGAAGTCACATTCATCATTATAATATGAATATAAGAAAGGTGTGTGTGTCTGAAAACTAAGTAGGGCTTTGTAGAAAGCCCTGAATAACAGAAAAAGAAATGAAACTTTTATGTCAGCTTTTTACAACCTCAGAAATTCTACCACCACTAAAATGTAGTGTTTTCATTATATATATAAAACATATATATATAATGTTTGTGTCATTGGTATTTTTTTAAGTCTACATTGGACAGTTCCTTAAATAACCCTCCCTGGACTCTCAGTTTATGTAAATGAGGCTTATCGATTGGCAAGTTACAATGCAAAAAAAAAAACAAAACACACACTTGCAGAAGTTGTTTCCGCGTGAAAATGTCAATATTTGTGAATTTCTTAATCTTCTCTTGTTTTCACTGAAAATTTCCATTTTCATGTTTCTTCAAAAGCTTTATCATCAGTATTCAAGTATCTTGATTCTCCATGCTTTAGGACAAAGAAATCTTCGCTTTTAAGTCCGTATCTCTCTAGAGCTTCATTCAGTTTCACTGGAGGCTCTAAGTAATGCTGGCAAGTAACAGGAAAAAAATGAAAATTTACAGTACAAATACTTGAGGGCTATTTCAAATAAGCACTCAAACTAAAAATAAATTTAAAGCACCAAAAGTTGCCTACATACATTCTTTTAAATGAACCATTATCAAGTTTGTCTCCTTACACAATTTAAGTCACTAATTACAAAGTCATTAAACTTGTCTACTACAAGAAAGATATAAGTCCATCCAAATGTCTGTATGTGCCTCCTTACATCACACAAAACTGGATCCTGATCTCACACGATACAATTTCAGTGTAGCTGGAATCAATACTAAGAAACAATAATAGAAGATTGGATGATAATGCATTTAAGCATGAGGGACTCTGCATCTGTGTTTGTGTGGACAAGCAAATGTTTTTGGCTGAAGAAGGCTGTTACCCACAAAGCCCCCCAAGAACAAACCATGTCAGAGGATGAAGGGGGGGCCCAAGAACAGACAAAGCAATGCAATCCCAACTCCCTGTATTGCCTTAGTGCTCTGTAATAAAACAACACAAAGCATGCTCCAGAATGTTCCTGCACACTTGAATATTTTCTTAAGAAGTTCTAACTGGATTAGCAAGATGGCTTAGTGGACGAAGATACTTGATGCTAAACCTGAGGCCCTGAGTTAGATCCTTAGACCCACTGGTATAAAACTGGTGGTGGTGCTGCTGCTGGCACACGCCTTTAATCCCAGCACTGAGGAGACAGAGGCAGGCGGATCTCGGGAGTTTGAGTCCAGCCTGGTCTACAGAGTGAGTTCCAGGATAGCCAGGGCAACACAGAGAAACCCTGTCTCAAAAAAACAAAATAAAACAAAACAAAACAAAAGGATAAAACTGACTTCTACATTCCTGCTATGGTGCACATGCTCCATACACATACACAATGTAAATTATAAAAGTGCAGATCACTTGAACGTAGAATAAAATTACTTATAAAGAAATTTAAAGTATGAAGGTAAACAATTTCATTAGTTATTTACCTTTTTAAATATTTAAAGGGGCTGTGAGAGATAGCTCATAGGCTAAGAGCATGGCTGCTCTTCTAGAGGACCCAGTTCAATTCTTAGCACCCCATGGCAGTTCACAACTGTTTGTAACTCCAATCCCAATGAATCAGGTGCCCTCTTCTGGATTCCTTGGGCACTAGGCACACATGTGGTAGTACACAGACACACATGCAGGAAAAACACTCAAGCACATAAAAACAAATTTAAAAAACCAAACACAAAACTAGAGAGTCATTGTGATGTGGTAAAAAGAACAAATTAATAAATGTATAGGTACAGCTCCAGAGGTACTAATTAATATTTAATTAAATTAATATTATTTAAATAATTTTAATTAATTTTAATAAATAAATAATATTTGTGTTATTTATTGGAGAATTTCATACAATCTATCTAATCATACTCACTTCCTATTCCCTCCCCCAACTCCTCCCAGGTACATCCCCTCTCCAGGCCCCATTCCAACTTCTTTTTTTTTTTCTTATTTCCCTTTGACCTAAATCTCTATGCTGTATAATAGCTTTTTTAAAAAATTCATTCAAAGGTTTTTGTTTTGTTTTTTGTTGTTGTTACCTAATTAGAAAGGCTGTAACATTTGGAAATTCAAAAAAAAAGTAAATTCTGAACTAATCGTCAGTGGGGAGTCTGTCTCCCCTTCTATGACACCCATCTCCTATGCATCTACAGAGTATGTCAGGCTAGTGAACAAACAAAAGTCTTTATCCTTGTAATGCAGAGACAGAAAAGGAAATAAGATATCCGCGGAGTCAATATGTTCTGGGAAGAAGAAAGTGCTGGGAATAAGGTTTATTTTAAGTACAATCATCTCGGAGGCCCTTCCACGAAAATACCCTCTAAACACACCCTCGAAGGGCTGGGTTACTCAAGTGATACAGGGGCTCATCAGAGCTGAGGTTTTCACCCCAGACATGACGCTCCCAGGCTACTTTAAAGATGTGGCGATTGATTCCAACCGAGAAGGTCTTCTATAGTGCTGAGGACTGTAGGGGACAGTGAGTGGCAGTGAAGGCTGAGCCGTCTGGGAAGGCGGGAAGGAGGGGCAGACAGCTCCCATGGAAATGTGACTGGAGAAGAGGACCTGGGCTGGAAAGGTGGAAGGAAAACACAAAGTAGGAATGCTAAGGGGACGTGAGAAAGGGAAAGAGTTCTTTCACTAATACCCACTTTATTTTCCCACTGACTGAGTTAAAACTCTAGACACAACTAATAAATCCACAGAAAAGGCTGCTTGCACAACAATGACACCCTCCTTCCTCAGCAACATCCCAGACTGAGTAAAACAGCTAATGAACCAAGGTTAAAGCCAAAAGCATGTTCTAATACCGCTGAGCCATCTGTACAGCCCCAGGCACATCTCTTTCTTAACTGCCCTCAAAATCTGCCCTTTGTGTTTACTGTTTGCTTCTTAATACTGAGTTGTCTAAATTCTCACTTAACCTGAAATTCTTTTCTGTGGCGTAAGAACCCAGTTACACATAAGTGGAGGTCTCTAGGAGAAACGCGGGTTGCCTGGTCAGCGCTAGGCGGCGTCTCCTTATCGCAGGCCTGTGAGACAGGCAGGGCTGCTGCTGCCTGCAGCACTCAGTGCTTAGAGGAGAGACAGAGTTAGCGTAGTGAGGACAGATAACCAACGGGATCTCAAAGCCAGGACGCATCTCCTGGGGTTTAAATGTACATGTGGGTTTTGTCCTCCTTGCTTACTTCCACAGTTTTGGTTACATTTAAAGGATCACTAACAACATTCAACTAACTGCTAAATAACTTAGGTTTTAACTAAGCCTTATTTATACTGTATTCTTAGAGAGAGCCATTTATTAAAGGATGGCAGACAGCAGGAATCTATTGCTTGTCTAATATATATATTATACATATATATTATGTATATATACCATAACACATATAGCACAAAAATAAATGTAATTTATTTTTAAAATATTTCAAACCAGGTGATGGTGGCACACACCTTTAATCCTAGCACTCAGGAGGCACAGTCAGGCGGATCTCTGTGAGTTCAAGGCCAGCCTGGGCTACAGAGTGAGATCCAGGAAAGGTGCAAAGCTACACAGAGAAACCCTGTCTTGAAAAATAAAAAATAAAAAATAAAAAAATTTCAAAATAATGAAATTCTTCCCCATTGAAAAAATAGCTCCTTTTGCTAAGTCCTTATCACCCATGTTTTCCAAGGTTTTGGTCAACAAAGTAGATACACAATCAATCTACACCAATAACTTCTTTGCTAGTTCAAACTTTATAGTGTCAGGCATGATGCCATTAAGGACTTAGTATAGTTTTTATAATGTTGTAGGTGGTAGGAGACCTTCTTTCTTTAATCTATCTATATTTTGCAACATCTGAGTTTTTTCCATCGGTTAATTCTTGGCTATTCTAACCATCTAACCTTTGAATTATGTAAGAAAAGCTTCTGGGTGACTTAGATTTAGTATCTCAGAATCCAAGCACAAAGGAGAAAAAAAAAAATGCTCACAGTCACGGAAGCAAACACCTATGGAAAATCAAGTCAGTAAGTCAGAAAATACAAGTAAGGAACGGGAGAAGAGCCCCTGAATTTGAGGTCCATCAAATGCCAGGCAGCCAGCCCTGGACAACTGCATTCCTAAAGGGTCAACTGATTAACAATCCGCTTTAAACAGAATCTAGTAATGATACAACCCGGTCAGCTAACATGCTAGCTTGTGTGATTACAGAATGCTACATCAAAAATAGGGGTTTATTTTAGAAAATTAGCTATTAATAGACACATACCATGCACATACAGAACTGTAGGGTGCTGTCGAGGTATAGACACCTGTATCCTGCTTATATCATAATGAGCAACTACTTCAAGTGCTTATACAAAGCACCAAATATTTAGAAACTTCAGGCTAAACACGTCTGAAAATCCCATAGACTTTCACACCTTTGTGTTAGTTGAGTAAACTGGTAACTACAAAACAGTCAAAGGAAAGATGTGTCTTTATTAAGAGTCTCAGAAAGAAAGATGGAGGTACAGCAAGACAAATCTCCCTTTGGTGTTCTGTTTTATTTTGTTTGAGATTTTTGGTACTGACATATCTGCTGTATTCCAGTAGCCCAGGATGGCTTGCCACTACTTGCAGTCCTCCTGCTGCCACCTCCTGAGAGCAACGGGGCATAATTCTTGAAGACTAAACAGTGATGCAGTGGTTTGAATAGAACTGGCCCCCAGAGACTAATGTGTTTGAATGCTTGACCCATTAGGAGGTGTGGCCTGCTGGAGTAGGTATGGTCTTGTTGGAGGAAGTATGTCACTATGGGGTGGGCTTTGAGGTCTCATATGCTCAAGCTACACCCAGTGTGGTACATAGTCTCTTTCTGCTGCCTGCAGATCTGCTGTAGAATTCTCAGTTAAGCCTTCTCCAGCACCATGTCTGCCTGCACACCACCATGTTTCCCACCACGACAATAATGGACTAAACCTGTAAAACTGTAAGCCAGCCCCAATTAATGCTTCCTTTTACAGACACTTGCATGATCATGGTATCAGTTCACAGCAATAGAAAACCTAACTAAAACAACTGAAATGATTCTTTTTGTTTGTTTTTTGAGACAGGGTTTCTCTATGTAGCTATGGCTGTCCTAAAAATTGCTCTGTAGACCAAGCTGGCCTCAAACTCACAGAGATCCACCTGCCTCTGTTTTCCAAGTGCTGGAATTAAAGGTGTGTCCCACCACTGCCTGGATGTGAAATGGTTCTTGAAGTCTGAGGTTTTGGTCCTCTCTTAATCTCCCCGTCTAAGGAAAGAGCACTACTGTAGTTAAGAGTTTTTTTTGTCTGGCCCAAAGTTAGGACAAATCTCTCTTACCTGTCAGTCCTGTAGTCACTTAGACCCAACCAAGTAAACACAGAGACTTATATTGTTTATAAACTATATGGCCGTGGTAGGCTTCTTGTTAACTGTTTTTATTTCTTAAATTAACCAATTTTTATTAATCTATAAGTTGTCACGTGGCTCATGGCTTACCGGTACCTTACATCTTTTCATGGCAGTGGCTGGCAGCATTTCTCTCTCACTTAGCCTTCCACTTCCCAGAATTCCTTTCCTCCCTGTCCCACCTATACTTCCTCTTGCCTGGCTACTGGCCAATCAGTGTTCCATTCATCAACCAATCAGAGCAACACATTTGACATATAGAACATCCCACAGCACACTACTGTCTGTCCACTCACTCAAGCTGAGTCTTCATGCCTTCCTTTACAAAGATTTAATAACACACTATATTCCATCTATGGCACTACAGAAAATACGTATGGAACATTCATACATACAAACAGGTAGAGACATTATAAGAAACAGCCATCAAACAGCATATGCAAATATGACAGTTTGCCCTTTCCCAAGTCCACACATGTACTTCAGATGAGCACGCCTTCCTCCCAGCTCTGTAGATGTTCATTTATTACTCCATCCCACTTCCAGCAGCATGGCTACCGATCTGCTGCATTACTCACGGTTATTTCAAAATAAGACAGACATTTTAATTAGGAGATAGGGAAATGAGCACTGCATGTATTAGGTAACTGTGGAACAAGCTCTATCTTAGGAAGAGGTCACACTAGAAACAAAGCAGAGTAAGAGGGCTAAAAACACAAGAGGCCCCGGGACACCGAAGGGTCACCCAGAGCCAAGCAGGGGAAGTTAACTTCTAACCCTTCTCAACGTTGCTTGGGCTTAGATCCAGGAGTGAAGAGATGATTTCATTAGACTTCCTGATTCCAGAACCCATGCCAGCAGAGTTTGGGGATCAGTTCCCAAGGAAGAATCAGCTCTTCTGATCTAGTCTTAATATACCATATTTATGCCAGTGTCTGGAGACAGCAACCACTGAATGGAAGAGCTCTCTTCCCCCACTGCCCTCCACACCACCCACTCCCTGCTGCCCCCAGACGATGCTGCTGCCCCCAGACGATGCTCTGCCCTTTCCTCCTCTGGAAATAAGTACCATCCTTCATGCCTGTGGCCAAGTTAAAAATCTCTTTCTTCCATGAGGTGATTCCTGATCCCTCCCTGTCTTTGAGACCAATTTATCTGTCCCATATTATAGCACCTCCACCTTCCAGTACACAATGTACGTTCTAGCTTCTACTAGAACATAAGCCATCTGGAGTGTGGAGGCATGATGGTTCATTTTCTACACCACACACAGATTTTGGATAAGCAGATGCTTCATTAAGTATGAAATCAGCCTAAAAAAACAGCACACCGTGGGGGTTTTATTCCTTTTCAAGTATTTTACTAGAAAGTATGCTTTGCCCCTCCAATTTATGTGGTGGTTATGATAATGTAGAGTTTGATTCCACAGTGTGGTCTCTGAAAGCCAGATCACAGAGATACTAAATCCCACCAACAGTCAAACACACAATCAAAGCTGAGGTTTGTGTTTGTTTGTTTGTTTGTTTGTTTGTTTGTTTGTTTAAATAAAACTTACCTCATTAGTTAAGGCAAAAGTTCCCCAGTGAATTGCCACAGATCTCTTGGTTTGAACATCAATGTGAATTCTTACAGCATCTTCTGGGTCAACATGCTGGTATTTCATAAACCACCTGATGAGACACAGCTATTGATTAATTTACTCTTTGCAAATAGCCTAAATTCAAATGACTATTTAATCTAATCAACATTTAATAGTCTGCATATCTGGAGAGACAGATGTGCAGTTAAAAGCATGCACTACCTTTGCAGACCTGAATTCAGTTCCCAGTTCCCACATCAGGCAGTTCACAATTGCCTGTAACCCCAGCTCCAGGAGATCCAATGTCCTTGTCTGGCCTCCTTGGGCATTTACACTCACACACACACACACACACACACACACACACACACACACACACACACACACACAGAGTTAAAAATAAAATTTAAAA